AGCTCCGCCGGTTCAGTTACCCACTCACTGGACAGTGCTGCTTGGGCCCCAGGTGTGCAGCTAGCATAGAGCACCATGCATCCTGGAATGCTTTATCCACGCTCAGGCTGGAAGATAAGCAAATGGGATGGAGGAGGAGGGAGTGCTGGGGCCATGGGCAGGACAAGAGACGGCAGGGTCCGAAGAGGGGGGGGGGCTTCCTGCTTGCCACGGAGGGAATGAGGCGGGTCTTCATGGAGGAGTGATGGTGGAGACAGGTCTTGAAGGCTGATCCTAGCCGGGCTTAGTGATGGCGGGGCAGGGGTGGGGGCGGGATCCTTAGCACAGAGTGCAGATTGACAAAGTCCAAAATGAGACATTCTCAGGAGGGTGTGGGGAGCAACCCGGACTGGACTGAGTTACTGGAATTAAGACTTATTCTATGCATCTGCTCTCCCACAATATGGCGCTGGGAGAGGAGGCAACAGCTTCTACCCAGCTGCCTCTCACCAACTTGACAAGCTGCAGGACCTGCTCCTGATTGGAGGAGAGCAGCGTACTCGGCGTGTGGGCAGCCGAGTTAGGATTGGCGGAGGAGGACTATAAAGGAGGAGAGAGACGGCATGCACCAGGAACATCTAAGGGGAACATCTAAGGGGAACACCTGTGCAGCCCCCGAGAGAGCCGGCCGGCGGTGTGCCGCTCCCCTGCGGAAGTGGGGAAAGTGGCCAGGGGGAACCGCCCTTCCACGGAGGTGGAAGGGACAGTAGCCAACCCGGGAAGAACCAGCAGCAAACCCGGGGAGGGCCGAGCAGACGAAAGAACAGCACAGGGTCCTGTGTCGTTCCTCCACGAAGAGGGGGAGCGACAGGAGGGGGTGTGGTGGGCAGCAGAGAGCATTCTGGGTGAAGAATGCCAGAAGCAGGTTGGGGCCCACTGCTGCATGGGCAGGCTGAGGTCAGCCCACAGGGGCCTTGGAAGCAGCTGGTGCTAGGTGTGGGGAGCCACTGTTTCTGAACAGGAGTGTGGCATAGTGGCCAGGAGCAGACACTCTGGAGTTAAATGGACTGGATTCACTGGGGACCAGGGTTGTGGTGGAATGGGTAAAGCCGCTGTCTGCAATGCCAGCATCCCATTTGGGCGCCGCTTTTTGTCCTGGCTGTTCCACCTCTCAGCTCCCTACTAATGCATTTGGGAAAGCAGCAGCAGATGGGCCAAGTGCTTGGGCCCCTGCCACCCACTTGGGAGACTCAGATGAAGCTCCTGACTCCTGGCTTCAGCCTCTCAGCCCTGGCCATTGCAGCCACTTGGGGAGTGAACCAGCAGATGGAAGATTCTCTCTCTCTCTCTCTCTCTCTCTCTCTCCTCTTTCCTGTTTCTCCCTCTCTATAACTCTGACTTCCAAACAAATAAACCTTTAAAGGAAAAAAATCCCAGGACTGCCACCCATTAGCTGTGCAAGGCAGGACAAGTTACTGTGCCTCTCTGAGGCTCACTCCCCACCTACAGAATGGGGATAATGGGGATCCACTATTAGTACCTACAGTGCAGGGTCTCCTGGGGACTAAGTGGGTGAGCTTTTTATAACAGCGCCTGCTGTTCAGTGTTATGTACATGTTTGCTTTTGTGGGCTTGGTTTGAGCTCTGTCTCATGAAAAATTAACTCTTTGGCATCACTGCATGAGCTGAGGAAACAGGTTCTAAAACCAGAGGCAGGGCCGGCGCTGTGGCGTAGCAGGTAAAGCCACTACCTGCAGTGCCGGTATCCCATATGGATGCCGGTTCGAGACCCAGCTGCTCCATTTCCAATCCAGCTCTCTGCTGTGGCCCGGGAAAGCAGTGGAAGATGGCCCAAGTCCTTTGGCCCCTGCATCCACCTGGGAGACCCGGAAGAAGCTCCTGGCTCCTGGCTTCAGATTGGTGCAGCTCCAGCCATTGAGGCCAATTTGGGAGTGAACCAGAGAATGGAAGATCTCTTCTTCTTCTTCTTCTTCTTCTCCTCCTCCTCCTCCTCCTCCTCCTCCTCCTCCTCCTCCTCCTTCTTCTTCTTCTCTTGCTGTATAGCTCTGACCTTCAAATAAAATAAATAAAGCGCCGGCACTGCGGCTCACTAGGCTAATCCTCCGCCTAGCGGCGCCGGCACACCGGATTCTAGTCCCGGTCGGGGCGCCGGATTCTGTCCCGGTTGCCCCTCTTCCAGGCCAGCCCTCTGCTGTGGCCAGGGAGTGCAGTGGAGGATGGCCCAAGTGCTTGGGCCCTGTACCCCATGGGAGACCAGGAAAAGCACCTGGCTCCTGGCTCCTGCCATCGGATCAGCGCGGTGCGCCGGCCGCAGCGCGCCGGCCGCGGCGGCCATTGGAGGGTGAACCAACGGCAAAGGAAGACCTTTCTCTCTGTCTCTCTCTCTGTCCACTCTGCCTGTCAAAAAATAAATAAATAAATAAATAAATAAATAAAGCTTTTTAAGAAAGTGTTTAAAACCAGAGGCCCCTGTAGTGACAGAGCCCATGGCACCAACGTCTGCTCCAGCAATAGAGGCCAGACTGGAGCCAGGGCTGCAGAGAGGTGGGCGTTATGGGTCCTTGGGTGTGTGCACATTGAACAAAGGTGGGGAGGGGCTGGCCCAAGGGAAGAGAGGCCTGAGTCTGGGTGACCAGGTGGAGTGATGCTGGCTGGGGAACCCGGGACTGTGGGGCAGGCAGGACAGAGGCACAAGGGACTGTCCTGCGACCCCCAGGGCTCGGGAAGGAGGAGTGGCTAACAGGGAGCTGGAATGTGGAGTGCATTTGGAGCTTGAGAGGGTGATGGGACAGGCATTTGACACAGCAGTTAAGGACTGCTTGGGACGCTTGTGCCCCATATCGGAGAGACTTGTAGCCCCATATCCGGGCTACAGTCCCGGCTCCCTTTCCATTCCAGCTTCTTTATAGTGCACACTCTTGAAGGCAGCAGGGGATGGCTCAGTAGTTGGGTTCCTGCGGCCCACGTGGGCGACCTGGACTGAGTTCCTAGCTCTTGACTTTGGCCTGACCCAGCCCTGTCCATTGTGAGCATTTGGGGAGTGGACCAGTACCTGGGAGATCTCTCTCTCGCTCGCTCTCTCTCGTTCTCATGCTCTCTCCCTTTCAAATAAAGACTGAAGGTTGGACTTTGACAGGAGATCACTCAGGTAGGAGAACAGAAGCTCAGCATCCAGTGAGATTCCCAAAAAGGGGATGATCGCTGCAGGACAGGAGTGAGGAGGGGAGGGGGGAGAATGGAGGGAAGAGAGAGGGGAGGGGAAAGAAGGCCATGCTCAGGTTCCAGTAGGGAAATGAACACCAGAGTCCAGCCTTGCTCTGCCATGGCCTGGCTGTGTGACCTTGGCTAAGTCACTGAATCTCTCTGAGCCTTAATTCCTGTGGACCGGAGCAGCCTCGCACATGGGGCAAAGACGAGACGTAAACAGGTGCATGTTTGTAAAGTCCTGACTCCTGTGGCCAGCCCCACCGCAGGCCCCAGGCCACGGCAGCTAATGTCGCTATGGCTGCAATGAACTCCCAGTTAGGTGGTCCCCAAGGCGGGAGAAGAGCTGTAGGAAGAAGCCGGTGGTGTAGAACTGCTGTTAAAAGGCCAGAGAGAGTGGGAGTGGAGGGCAGGGTGGGGGGACGCTTAGCAAAACAGCAGAGCTCAGCATGTGCCTGCTGCCCACGGGTACAGCGGCCACTAGCAGGATGATAATGCTGACAGCAATTCGGGATCTGGTAGTCAACGTGTCTCTAGTAACTTTCCAGAAAGCAGTGTGAGTTTTCAAACAGCAGGGAGAAACCGGGAGAGAGCCAGCAAGGCCTGCTGGGATCTCTTCTGTGGAGGGGATGGGAGGGAGCCAGCAAGTTCCAATGCCAGGCTGGGGCGTCTGGGTTTTGTATTTAGACAACTGCGCAACCTTGGAGGTATTTAAGTGGACGACGTCCTGGTGCTGGTTTGGGATGACGTGTCTGGGTGGGGCTGCTGCGTCTGGAGTCAGACTGCCACACCTGCTCAGCTCCGTATTAGCAGAATTTGATGGCCAAGGTCGTACAATTCCTAGGTTGTGGGGCGGGCATTTGGAGCAGTGGTTAAAACACCACTTTGGACACCCCTACCCCTATCAGAGTGTCTGGGTTTGAGTCTCAGCTCTGCTTCTGATCCCAGCTCCCTGCTAATGCATACTCTGGGAGTCAGCAAGTGAAGGCTCAAGTCCTGGGTTCCTGCACCCACGTGGGAGACCCAGACAGAGCTCCTGGCTTCCGCCTGGCCCCAGCCCTGGCTGTTGTGAACATTTGGAGAGTGAACCAGCGGATGGAAGATCTCTGTGTCTGTGTCTCTCTTTCAACTAAAATTGAAAATAATACATAAATACTAAGATTAATAAAAGTAGGCAGCAATTCAGGTTGATTTACATTTGACAAAATAATTTTTAAAAAGCCACAGGCAGAAGAATATCACACAAAGTTGCCGACTCTTATGTATCTACCCATGGAGGCAGTGGGGCGAGGCAAAGGAGAGGAGCGGGGAGTGGGGTGTGCAAGGCCGGGGCACGGCAGCTGTTTGGATGTCCCACAAGACGCCTCCCACAGATGACACAAGGAGACTCTTTGGGGACCTGTAAGTAGTGATTGTCCTCGCATTGTCTTGGGGCTTATCGCCCTGTCTTCTGGCACCCTGTACCCTGAAGCTCTATACAGCTATTACCTGTCAGTTAGAACAGAAGAGAATAAAACAACCACTAGAGGGTGCTGCCTGAGCGTTTTAGCTCAGAAAATGACCTCACCCTCTGGAAATCTTGTCATGAGTCTTCAGATAGTCACACAGGGCAGCGGGAGCCACAAACAGATGACACAGGGGCACGTGACGCGTCCGGTTCACCGAGGGCACCTGGGACCCGTGCTTGGGCCTCCGGGACGGATGACACAACAGTCAGGGGCTTTGACAGAAAACGACCGCGATCTTGCAAAATCAGGGCGGGGCACCGGAGGCGGGCTTCTGTGTAGGACTGGCGGGGGCGGGGGCGGGGGCGGGGCTCTGCGCCTCTGTCCGGGCCAGACCCGCCGCCTCACCCCCTTTCTGATTTCTGCCAACTCAAAGGTGTGCGGGGTGTTGGGAATGGTCGGGGGCGGGGTGCAGCTCGAAGCTTGCAGGATTGGTTTTTGGCAGGAAGATCACAGCCTGGAATACAATGGAACTCTGTCTTCAAAACAGGCCCTCGGGGGTGGGGGGGAGCCGGGGCTGGCAGGGCTGGAGGAATCCGTTGCTTGGGAGGAAAGGTCTGGCCAGAGCCAAGATTCAATTTCTGTCTCCCGAACCCCTGGAGTCACTGCATTTCCAAAGAAATGAGCCCCCAGGAGAGGCTGCTAGTTTCTAGTAAGAGGAGGAACCATCGTCTTCTTCTGAAATATCCTTAGGCTCACCACAGCCTACAGAACTGCAAATTTTCCATTCAGAAGAGTTCTCTTGGGCCCCGCACGGTGGGGCAACAGATGTGACTTCACTGGCAGGCGCTGGCGTGGAGCCTGGAACACAGTAGGCGCTCATTAAGTGCTTTCTTCCATCTGCCCCAGGTGGTCCTGAAAGTTTCCAAGGCTGATCCAAGTTGCTCCTAATTGTTCCCGGCTGCGGCTGCGAGTGCTTCCTTCCACGTTAGAACCAAAACGATGCCTTGGTTCTGCAGCAACTTTAAGCATATCTTTGCCTCGTCTCGTTGAATTGTTTAATTTCAGAAAATACGAAAACCCGGAGGGTCCCAATGTGCCTGCAGACAGCAGTCCTCAAAGGTTGCCCAGCTCCCCGGAGAATCAGTTTCTAAAGCTAAGATTCAAGGTGAAAATATTTGTAGGGGGAAAGTAATGTTAAGACGGAGATAAGGGGCCGGTGCTGTGGCCTAGCAGGTTAAAGCCCTGGCCTGTGGCGCCAGCATCCCATATGGGCGCCGGTTCTGTCCTGGTTGCTCCTCTTCCAGGCCAGCTCTCTGCTGTGGCCTGGGAAGGCAGTGGAGGATGGCCCCAAGTCCTTGGGCCCTGCACTCGCATGGGAGACCAGGAGGAAGCACCTGGCTCCTGGCTTCGGATCCCCGTTGTGGCCACCTGGGGAGTGAACCAGCAGATGAAAGACCTCTCTCTCTCTCTCTACCTCTCTCTGTAACTCTTTCAAAAAAGATAAAATAAATCTTAAAAAAAAAAAAAAAAAAGGAGGTAAATGCATATTGTGTTGCCTTGGTGGTGATTAGGGAAGAGGTTTTTCCCTGCCCTCTTTCTTCCTTTGAGGTTACTTTCCAAAGTAGCTTTTATACCTTCACAGTGTCTTCTCTGTGTGAGCCCATTTTCCCGTACGATAACAACATACCCAAGCTCGGGCATTCTCTACAGAAAGGAGGTTTATTCGGCTCCAAGTCTGGGAGGTTGCAGGTCCAAGATCAGTTGCTCTCACTGATCCACCCTTCAGTGATGGCCTCACAGCCCTCAACGGTGGCCTCACGGTGGTGGTGGTGGGGTGCGCAGGAGAGGGGGAGACCTCCTGTCAGATGGGAGCCACAGCACAGGGAGGGGCCAGGCTTGGTCCTTTGACAACAACCCTCTCTGGGGAACTCACTCCGGGTCCCAGGGGAGAGACTTCCATCCCTACCCAGGGCAGTGCCCCCAAGGACCTCTTGGTAGGCCTCCCCACCACACCACAGCTCACGAAGAGGACCAACACCCAGCACAGGAAGCCTTAGGAGACCAAATCAAACCAACCCTGAGCATCCTATTTCCAAATAAGGCCATGCTTATTTGAGACACCGGGGTTAGGACTTCATGCCTTTCTGGAGGCCAAAATGGGTCCATGTGAATCACTGTCAACTAATGAAATAGTAGCCTTACACCCACACTGAGTAAGGCCATCCCAACAACTTAGCGGTGGGGAACTTTGGGTGTTGTAGAAGACTCTTAGTAGATCACAGTGTACCCAGGGAACAAAAGGGAGCTATGTGTGATCCCAGTCTATTGGCATGAAAGGGAGATGCCTATTGCCATATGGAAGGCAGTGGAAGGCAGTGGAAACTGGTCACCAGCTGCCTCTAATCCAGCCTCCTCAGAGTGCCCCAGGCCAGCGACCACACCCAGCACACTGTGCTCTCAGGCCCCGCCCCCATTGTAAGGACATCACCTAGACAGCGGTCCTGGCCTTGAATGTGCCGTGCCTGGGATTCGTGCTTTTCTCAGCCGAAATCCCTGGTGTTTAAGCATAGGACGTGGCTAGTTCCCAGATGTACTGATTTCCTAAGGTGACCATAAAAATCCGCACAAACTGGAGGTGTGAAACCGCAGGGCTTTGTTTCCTCAGCGTTCTGGCGGGTGGAAGTCTGAAACCCGGGTGTCAGCCCGGCTGCTCCGGACGCCCCAGGAGATTCTGTTCCGGTGGCACCCAACAGCCCTTGGCTTTCCTCGGCTTACAGAGGCTTCCGTTCCACCCCCTCCCCATTTAAACCAGCAGCTGCTTCCCAAGACCATCGTCCCTTAGCAGTATCCAAATGCCTGCCCCCCTTTTAAAATGATTTATTTATTTGAGAGGCAGAGTTATAGACAGAGAGAGGGAAAGACACAGAGAAAGGTCTTTCATCTGCTGGTTCTCTCCCCAGTTGGCCACAACAGCCAGAGCTTGGCTGGTCCAAAGCCAGGAGCCAGGAGCCAGCAGCCAGGAGCTTCTTCCAGGTCTTCCATGTGGGTGCAGGGGCCCAAGCACTTGGGCCATCTTTGGCTGCTTTCCCAGGCCATTAGCAGAAAGCTGGATCAGAAGAGGAGCAGCTAGGACATGAAATGCCACCCATATGGGATGCCAGCGCCACAGGCGGAGGCTTAGCCCACCACACCACAATGCTAGCCCCTCAAATGTCCTTCTTTGTAAAAGGATACCCCCCAATAATATCCCAGTATGGCCTCATCATAACTTAATTACCTCTTCAACAACCCTATTTCCAAATAAGGAAATATTTTGAGATACTAGGGTTAGGTTTCAGTATATATGTTGGGGGGTAGGGGGAATTCAACCCAAAACACCAAGCAGGGATTTTCTTACTACTTCTCTTTACTGGGCTCTGTGTTTGAAAATACTCATGCACATCCATTTTCCTAGTTTCTTTTGTTAAAATTCATTCAAATAGGCATTCAGTTCCGGAACGAGGGGACATATAATCAACTCCTCGCATCAAGACACAGTCACATGTCACAAACCACTCTACCAACGACAGACTGTGTACGACAGTGGTCCCACGGGTGCCTATTGGAATTGACAACTTCCTGGGATCCAGAGACATCATAGCATTGTTGCGCAATGTGCAACCTACGCCTCCTGTGTTTGCAGTGATGGTGAGTAAAACAAACAAACAACAAACAAACAACAAACAAAACCTACTGCATTGCCAGCCATGTAAAAGCACAACATGTATGAAAGTACCTCAAAAGTTCGTGGGAAAATGAAATTTGAAGTTTATGGGCATGCCAAAATTTTGAAATCCTACACAGTTTTTTTTTTTTTTTTTCCGTAATGAGCATTTTCCATGGACTTTTGGAGGTTTCTCGTTCTGTGGAGGTTGGTAATGATAATAAACTGTGGGACTGGCTTATGTATTTGCTATACTATGCCTTTAGTGTTACCCTAGCGTGTCCTCCTTTTAGTCCTATTCTAAAAGGTGGACTCAACAGCAACCTCAGGAGGGCCCAGCTGGAGGCATCGTCATCACCAGAGGCGACAGCTCCGTGCTTGCCGTCGGCCCTACAGCGCTTCCAGTGGGACAAGGCGAGAAGTGCAAGACAGATCCTGGTGATCCTGACCCTGCACGGGCAGAGGCTGATGCATGGGTTTGGGTCTCAGTTTTGAACAAAAAGGTTTTACAAGTTAAAAAAAAATGAAAATTAACAGTAAAAAATCTCATAGAATAACCTTAAAAATTTTTTGTATAGCTGTACAATGTGTGTGTGTTTTAAAGTGAACATTATTACAAAAGAGTCAAAAAGTTTTTTAAAAATTAACTGTTTAGAGGCTGGTGCTGTGGCATAGTAGGCCAAGCCTCCACCTGTGGCACCGGCATCCCATATGGGCACAGGTTCATGTCCTGGCTGCTCCACTTTTTAAAAAATACTTTTATTTATTTATTTGACAGGTAGAGTTACAGCAGGTAGAGGAGCAGCCAGGACTAGAACCAGCTCCTATAAGGGATGCCAGTGCCACAGGCGAGGCTTAGCCCACTACGCCACAGTGCCAGTCCCTGGCTGCTCTACTTCCAATCCAGCTCTCTGCTATGGCCTGGGAAAGCAGGAGAAGATGGCCCTAGTGCTTGGTCCTCTGCACCCCCGTGGGAGACCCGGAAGAATCTCCTGGCTCCTGGCTCAGATCAGCCCAGCTCATTTGGGGAGTGAGTCAGTGGATGGAAGACCTCACTCTGTTTCTCCTTCTCTCTCTCTCTCTCTCTCTCTCTCTGTAACTCTACCTCTCAAATAAATAAATAAAATCTTTTTAAAAATTAACATGTTTATAAAGCTAAGGTTAATTGATCAGTGAAGAGAGCAGAGTGTTTTTACTTAGTGCGGGCTCAGTGTCTTAGTACAGTGGTGCACACTACTGCACCTTCACCTCCACTCACCACCCCCTCGCTGATGCCCCAAAAGCAACTCCCAGTGCCCAACTCCCAGTGCTCCAAGCTCCCTGCGTGCTGAGTGCCCCACACAGGTGCACCGTTATCTCCATCTTTTATGCTGTGTTTTAACCGTACATTCCCATGTGTAGATCATGAATATTGCCATTGTGCTACAACTGCCTATGGTATCCAGTGCAGTAACTTGCTGTGTGGGTTTGCAGCCTGGGAGCAAAAAGCTGTACCCAAAAACCTCGGTGTGCAGAAGGCTGGGCCATCTAGGTCTGTGCAGGTGCACTCCACGTGATGCTCACATACAATGAGATGGCCTAACGACTCACGTCTCAGAACAAAGCCCCATTACCTGACTCCTGAGTGTGTAACTAAATAGCCTGCAAAGCATTCAATACAAAGTGACAGGACTCTGAAAGCTGGGGGAAAGAGAAGGCAGACTGGCTGGGTCCATCAGGGCTTGAAGAACCACAGTACAGCGAGTCCCCTGGCTTTCTATCTCCTGTCCTCCTCCAGACTGGGTGCCAGAGACACCTGCAATGTGGAACCACCAACAGGCACACATGAACACGCCCAGGAAGGCCTGCTCTCGCTGGGCAAAGGAGAGCAAAGGGGGACCCCGAATCCCCCATCCCATACCTGGAGCCCCCCAGGCCATCTGATCACCAGCAGTGCCAGCAGCGGCCCCTCTCCCTACTTCCTGCTGCCCACCAATGCGGCATAATGACCAACAACACCAGCAAAGGCTGATGGGACCCAGAAACGCCACAAGGACAAAGAAGAAAAGAACGGGCCCAGAAAAATTGAGCTGTTATAGACACAAACACCTGCAGGTGTAGACCAGCCGTCCTCCACCAAACCTGAACTGGGTGCCTGTTCGCTGGAAAGAGAGGATGAAAGAGCCAGAGACTCCTGAGAGAAGAATCAAAGTGTCCAAGATACTGCAAAAACTTCTCATCTTAACAAGAACCAGAGAAGCCGCGGTGGAAGTGCAGGAAGACAGGCAGCAAAGGGCGACGCCGAGACAAATCAGACAGAGAAGGATCCGACAAGTGCTTCAACAAGGAAATGAAGAATTCCCTTGTGTTCAAAGCCTAAGCACTGGGCACAGGCATTGAAGCTGACAGTTAAGAAGGTGGTGAAGACCCTGCGTCTTGCGCCCAGGTCCGATTCCCGGCCCCGGCTGCCGATTCCACTTTCCTGCTACTGCAGGCACTGGCACCCACAAAGGGGACCTGAGCAAGTCCCTGGCTCCCAGCTTCAACCTCGAGGCACCCATAAGTAAATGCTGGTGACACTGATGACTCATTCTGCATTCGGGGCCCCCTTTCCCCCTGGAAAAACCACAGTGCAGCCCCCTCATCCTTATTCTCTTTTCTGAGCTGCAGTGGCTCCCACCCATATGTTGCCTTCCGTAGGGGAGAACGATGGAAACCTTGCACAAACCACCATCCCGGGCCTCCGAGGCACGTGAGCTCCTCTGGAAGACATAATTTCCACAAAAGTCAAACCCTAAGGACGATCTATGAAGCTACTTCAAAAGCTTCATGGGAAAATGGAGTTAAAACACAAGTTAATTTGGGTGCCAGAAAAATGTTGAAATCGTACATACACAGGGGCTTCCAAAAGATCATAGAAAATTCACGTTGTGAGAGAAAACGACGCAGGGATTTCAAAATTGGTTTGCACCCAAATAAACTTAGCTTTTAATGCATTTTTCCACGACCGTTTTGAAATAGCCTCGCATCTTGCCAGTAGGCCTGGCTTAATGAGCGCTCTACCTGGGATTAAAAAATGATGATTTCCAGAGCCCCCAGCCTTCAGCCTCTGTGAAAAGTGAAATTGCATTGAAGTCAACAGTGCCTTAAGCCCTTTGCCAAAGAGGCCCCAAATGTAGGTTCCACTAAGTACAAATAATAAGGCTAATAACAGCTCCCTCGCTGGTCTTTATCTCTGGGCTGGGGAGGATCAAAGCCGGCTGATAGGTGTGGCTTCAAAGGCATCTCCATCCAAGATCTGGGACCTGCACGCTCCAACAGGCCCTCCACCCTCCGCTCCCACACTCTGCAACCGTTAGCGGCCCCCAACCCACCAGAGCGGCAGCCAGAGCCTGTCTGTCTGTGCTACCTCTTCTAGAAAACAATTGGCACTCATTCCAATGGTGGCAGCGGCCGAGAAACCCTCTTTCCTGTGTAATGTGTCGCATTGTTTGATTTCCTCCATCCCTAGAGGCGCCTTAGTGCAATGCTTTGATAAGCTAAATTGACTGCTAATAAATTGTGCTTTGCACTGATGGAGACATGGGAGACATATTTAGGCAATGCCTGGGAGTCAGGGAGCTGGTGGCAAAGCAGACTGGGCAGTTTCATCTCAGGAAGTGGAGGGGACATCATCCCTCAGTGACAGGGACTTGGGGAGTTATGCTAAACCGGCCCTGGGGTTGCTGACAAGGGCGTGGACTGCATGTTTGCAGAACTGTGGTCCAAGGTGACAGCAGCAGGGAGATGGAGCCTCCCCCTTCCAAGGGAGGGACCAACCAAGTCACATGGAAGTTGGCACTGACAGTCAACAGTCAACATCAGCCATCTGCAACGTGGGCATACCATATGGGCATGGGTTCAAGTCCTGGCTGCTCCACTTCTGATCCAGCTCTCTGCTGGGACTGGGAAAGCAATGGAAGATGGCCTAAGTCCTTGGGCCCTGCACCAATGTGGGAGACCAGAAGAAGCTCCTGGCTCCTAGCTTCAGAATGACCCAGCTCTGGCCATTGTGGCCATTTGGGGAGTGAACCAGCAGATGGTGGATCTCCTCTCTCTCTGTGTGTGTGTCTCTCTCTCCCTGCCTTTGAAATAAATAAATATTTTTCTTAAAAAAAGAAATGTCCAGTTCCTAGTCGCCAGCAGGGATGGGGCTCCAGGTCCAAGAAGAAGACAGGAAGTAGCTGGACCAGCCTCTGCTCCGAGTGGGAGACGGGAGAGGAAATGAGAAACAGGCCTCGCATGGATGGCGGCCCCCAGCGGAGGGGGTGGTCTTGCCCACCACGGGTTCTCCTCCTTCCCAACCTCTCTGTCAGGTGAGGCGTCCTGCCCGGAAGTGTCAGCTTAGATTATGCCTTAGCACCTGGCTCCAGCCCAGATTAACCAGGAGGGCCTCACCGGCCAGCCCCTCTGGGAAGAAGGTGGGACGTGAGGAGGAGCAGGCGAAGTTAGCTCAGGACTTCCTTCGTGATCCGGAACCCGGAGTGGGGTCGTCAGAGGGTTGGCTGGAGCGAGCAGGCAGCAGCAAGGGAGGAGCAGCGTGGAGTGAGCGGCAACACTGAAGGCACTGCAACCCGGGCCTTTAGGGTCCGCAAATCCCAGCTCTGGCCGCACACTGGAATCATCAAGGGGTCTGTTCAAGTTCCCAGTGCCTGGGCCTCCCCCGCACAGCCACACTGAAATCACAGGGACTAGGCCCGGCCACGGGTGATGCATGGCGCTCCCCTGGTGATTCGGATGTGGGGCCAGGGTTACAATCACCGTCTGTCCTAGCTCTTAGCCACCCACAGGGAAGCTCCCAAGACCAGCGGCAGCGCACCTGGGCACTTACAGAAATGCCAAGTCCCAGGCCCACCCCATGCTAGCAGCTGCCCTGGCCCCTCTGCACTGTTCTAGTGAACAGTGAGGGCAGTGGGTCTCACCCCTGGACACACATCAGAATCAGCCAGGGACCAGTGATGTCTGGGTGTGGATTTGGGACAGTTAAAAGCTCCCCAGGAAGGTCAATGGCCAACATCGTTGGAGGCAGGGCTGTCCCTCCTGCCTGCAGTGCAGGCTGGTGTGATGGCAGCCCAGCCCCATTAGACCTTAATTTAGCAGAACATTAAGTAGGGAGGGAGGGGAGATGCTCCAGTCCTTAGCGCCAGGCTGTGACTGGGAAATCACCTGAGGACCAGAATCCCTGGGTACCACCCTCTCTCACCCTTAGAGGGGAGGGACAGGACAGCCAACAGACACCTGCAGAGGTGAGCTGCTGTGCGCAAGGCACATGGTTATTACCCTCCGACCCCCTCAGCAGCGCCAGCTGCCTGGGAGGCCGGCTCTTTCTAACAAGCTCCCAGGAGATGCCAGCGCTGCTCCTGAGACCTCGCCCGGTGCAGGAAGCTCTGGGATGGTTGAAGGTGGCAGTGCCATGCTCCCCAGAGGTTACTATGGAGCGAGCGCAAATCCTCAGCTCCCTGCAGTGGGGACTCCCAGCAGGGACCGTGCTGTTCCTTACCTAGCCTTGAAGCCCAGGGAAACAGCAAGGGATAGCGTGCAAACACACATACTCTATCTCACATACATGCACACACACACGTGCACATACACACCCACACCGACATACACACTCTAACATCCCCACACACACTCACACACATTCACATACACACATTCTCACACGACACACTCACACACTCTAACATCCATGCACTCACACACACACGTACTCTCACACTGACACACTGTAATTCACACACACACACACACACACCGACACACTGACACACTCTAATTCACTCACACACTCTAACACTCTAACTCACTTTCACTCACACACTCACACCCTTCCGGATGCCCCTGTGTGTGCCTGGCTCAGTTCCTCCAAATTCTCATCTCTGCCTCACAAGCGAATCCCTGAACCGATTGTCCTGACTGACCAATCAGAGCAAAATGCCTGTTCATCTCTCTTGGGTTCCCATCATCTCCTTCTAGGCACCCTGGACCTGAGCCAGCCCCCGGCTCCTCCCTAGAGCACCCATCTCGGGGGTGCTGCACCCCCCCCACCCCCACCCCTGGCTAGCTGGGTTTGCGCCTTCT